TTTATTTTTTTAAAAGTTTAGTTACCTGAAGCTTTGAGAAAATTTAATTGATCAGAAGTTGATGTCAATCACCCTAAAACTAGAGTATTCCTAAGGCAAAATAAACAACAATAACAATAGTTTTAAAAGTCCTCTTGGAATATAGTCACAACAGTGACATCCAGTTATAGATGGATGCAATTCCTAAGCAAACCAAAAAAAAAAAAAAAAATCGAATCTTTTAGGCCAATCTTCTGGAACATAACTTTTGCATAAATCACACTTTTAGAACATTTTAACTATTCAGCGCAAGACAAGATCTTCCCCTAATATCTAGTCTCCATCTAGTCTTGAACACATGTCTATCTTCCTTCACCCCTTATTTTTTTTTCATCCACGTCTCAGGGCTTAACTTCTCACTTGGTTCCTTCTCCCCTGCCCACACCAGCTGGCTCCCACTAATTACTGTCTGCGTCTGCTTTTCTGCATTTCTTAACCACATCTCACCCCACTCTCTTCCCCAAGGCATATCTGTTTTCTCCTTAGCATTTGGCACAATGTCTGCCTAGCTTAGGGGAGGAGAGGCAGGGCAGGGTGTGGTAAAGCCCCAGAGCTTTGGATGCAGCAGACTAGTCAGTAGTTTCTACATGTATCATAGGAGCTAATAGAACAGCCATTGTGAGGGTTGGCAATTTCTGAAGTGTGGTGCATGTTGTTAATTATAGGCTCTCAACAGGTGTTTATCAATTGAGTGAGTTAATTCACTCTCACTTTTCCCTTCATTCTCCTTACCTTGGTATTAACCTGACTTTGCCAGCGTCTTCATTTGTTGTGCTGCACGAGAGGAGGCAAATCAGGCTGGCTCAACGTCCAAGGCCAGTTCTCTGAGATCCACTTCTGCATTATCTTCTCTCTCACTTCTGTGACCTGATCTTCCCTTGTTAGATATGTCTGCATCTGACCCACATTTTACTTCTGCACTCGACTTTACCTACTGCTCTTTCCAGTCTTCTTGTCCTTTATAACAAGTTCATATTCATGATCCATCATTAGACAATGAAACCTCCTGCTTTCTTGTCCTCTCTGAGGTTTAAACCAACCACCTCTGTTCCATATTCACCAGATAAACAGCATTCCCTGCCCTAAATCTCATTATGAGATGACGTTCAGGTTCTCTTGCCTTGCCAAGCCAATGGTTCTCAAAGTGTGGAACCCCAAACAGCAAAAGCAGCTTTAGCATTGGGTTGCGACCGATCAGGGCTGGACAGGTTCATGGGATCTGTGCATACAGAAAAATATTCACAGAGTTGTTGGGATGTCTGGCATGCCTTTATTCAAGGGTGGATGATCCACGCACTCTGCAAGCTGTGTGTCACCCTGCATTTCACCTGCCCCCTCTGCATAGCACCCAGTGCGGGCCCTTGCATTGCCCCTGCGTGTCTATGTCTGCACCCTCAGTGAGGAACCCCTGTCTTCTGAAGTACTAGAATGAACAAAGCTGGCTATAGGCCAAGTTGTTAGGTAACATAGCATGATTCTGCGCCTTTGAGCCCACTTCATGTTATGGGAACTGTTTATTGGACCCAGTCTCAAAGCTGTGAGACCCAGACTCAAGACTGTGAGAACACCACTTTATCAGACCCCTCCAAGGTTGTGCGAAAATGCTTCCTTTAGTTACCCAGACACCTGGGTGAGGAAGGCTGACTGCCTCCACTTACCCTATAAGCATCACCCAAGAATTTGTTAGACTTGCACACTCTTGGCCTCAAACCCACTCAAATTTGGGCCAACCTCAAACCCACTGGCTCAGAAACTCTGGGGGTGCGACCCAGCAATCTGTGTTTTAACTGCCCTCAGGGATCTGTGATGCTGCTGAAGTTTGGAACCCACTGCTTCGACCCACCTCTTCTCTTCCCTGCCTTCTCCCTTCCTCCTGTTTGCACTTTACCAGTTCTGGGAGGACACAACTTATGGTTGGAGGCTATTGTGTGCCATTTTGAAAGTCCTTATTACAGATCATTTTAGAAGATTGTATATAAGGGATGGTGATGAGCTAGGTAGATGAAGGTACAAATAATCCAGAAGACTCAATCAGGAGAGTTAAAATCTTCCTGGAAAAAAATGTTTTTCTAATAATGCTATTAAAATAATGCTGGTAAAAGTGCTGATACACAATGCTGGTAAAGAGTAAAAGGACATGGAGAACCTCAATCGCCTTCAAGTTCATTAAACTTATAGTTACCAAACAGTAGGAATTCCCAGCGGCTTCCTTGACTTGATGATGTGTTTATGAAGTCCACTACATTAATGTTTCTACTTTTGTGTATGCTCAAAAATGTCATAAGTATTTTTAAATAACAGTTACTTGACAATGACAACATCATTCTATGTCCATGTTATATGAACTCAAATGATTTTTTATTTTTGTCACTACCAATCTTGGTCATAAATGATATTAGTAATGAATTTTTATATTATTGAATCATTTTATTTCTACTAGATATGTATAGACATGTAGTGTATATGTATGTAGATAGACATATTTAGAGATTATCAATGTTAATGTTGAAAAATGACCAAAAGCTAAGAAATTAGTGTGATCTGTACATTGCTGCTGTGTAAATAGAAAAAAAAAACCTTTACAAAGACAGTTTCACAAGATCCAGGTATGTGTCACTAGACATTAAATTATTAAGGCATATAAATTTCATTTGCTGGAATCTCTTCTAAACGGGGAGAATTTTAATTGCAGATTTTATACAAGAAGGTGGTCAGCAGAACTTTTTTTTTCATAATAGCCTAAAACATTTGAAATCCCTTTGTGACCAACCTTATGGATATAGCCAGATAAACAGTATATTAATCTATCAACAATATAATCATTAAGATGATAATTCTGCAAATTATAATGCTATAATAGTAAAAAAAACAAACAAAATTTGATACATAGTAAGACTGACACTGGGAAAAACATGTACAGGAAAAGAAACTGCCTGTTAGGGCAGTGATATGATCAATGTCTTCTTTTTTCTCCTATTTTTATTTTTTTCCATGGGAATGTATGTGACAGTGGAATTCCTCAGGTTGTTTCCTCTCCAAAGCAGTTTGGGTCTTGTGACTTGGCAAAGGTATTTTTAATTTGCAAGGAGCTAAAGTTTTTGAGAGGTAATAGTCCTAGGAATTATGAGTAATATACTCTGTGAGTAGCAAAGCCTCTGGCACTAAGCCAGCTACCTTGGTGAAACCAGGGTTCACAGAGTATCTGACTGTGGTTATGTCTTTCTTCCCAGTGTTGCTTCTGTGGTACTTCTGTGAAAATGTACAGCAATCATTCCATTGCATCTTTGCCCCAAAGAAGCAGATCTTGGCAATAGCACTGAAACCCCTCCTCCTCTGGTTGTCTTATCCAGGACTTTTATTGCAGTTGGAACATCAAAAATCAAAGTGGTCTCTGACATGTATTAAACTGAATGGCAGCTGCACCATTATTCCACCAACTGGGAACTTTAAGCAGAGCTGCTTTCCCCGGTGTCCATTTGAACCTGCTAAATGAAAGCATGTTCAGAGGCATGGGGACCATACATTATGGGACGTTGATGCAGTAACCCTTCCTTTGCAGCCCTTCCCATCCTAAAGACTCTCAGTTCAGCTGTGTACTCTCCATGGCGTTAGCTTTGGAGTCTGTGCTGCTTTTCTTCTCTCATTAACGAGGGGTGGTAGTTATGGCTAATCCGTTATATAGTGCTGCCATCTGGGGCATACAAAAAGGCCAAATGAAAAAAGGAAGAGGGCACACACACTTCAAGTGTCTGTGTTTTGTATTATATGCTTCAGATGATTTTTTTTTTGCCATTCATCCATTATATTTTTTCCTATGTTTATAGAATATTCAGGTCAAATATCCTATGTCCTTGAACCACATGCTCTATAAAGCCTGTTAGTGTGTAGGTTACTCTGTTGAACATATGTTTCATTGAGCCAATTCTAATTGCGGGGAGGGGGACAGGAGGAGGGTCCTTTGTCACCACATATGGTTGTGATAAAAACTAAAGTCTCAAGAGGAGCCTGGCAAAAGGAAAGGATTATTTATCCAAGTTTAACCTTGGAGTTATTTTGCTGTTTCATTTCTACAAGTAAATAATCTTCCTTCCTGTTTTAAGGCAGGTAATTGCTTCGCTAGTTTCTGTTTCTGACTAAGCATCACTTAGAGTCTTTCATCTAGTTATTTACTCATTTTACTGGAACAGCTTTCAGTTCTCTTTAAAAATTAATTTCACTTTAATGTTTAGTTATCTAGGACTCCCCTGGGCCAGGATGAAATCACACTGGGGAGGGGGGAGGTTCAATCTGACAAACAGCCATTGTGTGGGAACCTTTGATCCTCCGCCATGGTGTTAATTAGCTGCCCCCTTGTTTCGCTGAGCTTTAGGCGAGATCAGAGTCTGCCTGCCCCCAGGGCCAAGAGATCTCTGGTGAGTCCTGGGACAGCTCAGGTGCTTCCTTGCTGTTGGGCTGCCTGCAGCCTTTCCACTGGGATTTGATTTGGGCAGAGGGGAAGAGAAGACAGGAGCAGTTTTTCTAGGGCTGTGGGGTACCAGATCCTGTGACCTGTCATATGATAGGAAGCCCTTTATTCCCTGAAGGAGGAACCTGTAATCCTGGCTTTCCAATCTCTGAGGCCTGCTCAGTAGTTTCACGTTCTCAAAAATTAAGAAGAAAAATTAATTTTTATTCATGTTCATTAAAAAATAGAGACAAAATATAGTAGATTATGGTTAGGCAGCTGAGAGAAAACCGGCAGTTTGCCGAAGATCGTTGGAAATTGTTGCCCTGGTGGCTAGATGGCACACCTCTAAAAATGAAGTCAATGACTTAAAAGCAAAAGAACAGGTGTACACATTACATACCGACCTTGATAAAGATGGTTCAGAAACACCTAAGCTCAGTTAGCGGGCTGGAGATGTCGGCCTTCCCTGGGAGGCAGGCGCTGTCTAACTGCGCTCTCCTTCCCTGCCTGGCAGATGGGGAGCTCTCCACATCAAACGAGGACGACTCCCTGGAAAACGGACAGTCCCTGAGTGCCAGCCAGCTGTCCCTGCCTGCCCTGTCCGAAATGGAGCCGGTCCCGATGCCCAGAGATCCCTGCTCATACGAGGTGCTCCAGCCTTCAGACATCATGGACGGGACAGGTAATGCCCTGGGGAAGGTGTAGCACAGGTCCCCAGCGGGTGGCGTTGGGTGGCCTGACTGGACCGGGGGTTCTTTTGGGAACCATCCTGAGCATAAGGATCTCCTGGAAATGGGGATGAAAGTGACCAACTAGTACATGCTAAGTATATAACTATGGAGGATGTTTACAGTTATTGTTCTATAGTTTTTAAAAACTGTTTTTATAACTTTCGTATCTTTAAAGAGATCCCTGTTTTTATAATAGTGATGATTTAAAATGACATTTTTTAAAAATTTTCTAACATTCATTTCTGTTAAGATCAAACTAAAGAATCCTACACTTCTATATGGTACCTATCTAATTCACCTGTTCGTAAAGCCCTGGCATGCCCTTTAACCCTAGTCCCAGTGTACCAGTTAATGGTTGTACCAATGTTCCAAATGGTATCAGTTTACTGTATATGATCAGTGTGTTCATTGGCCATTAAGTTGGTGACAGTATTCTGGTTAACTTGTATCCTGCCAACAGGTGATTTCAATGCCATAAAACTGTCACTCCCATTTTGGCCCAAAGCCTCTGAGTGGTCACTCATTCCCTCAGGAGGTTTGCAGAGGGGTTCTCCTTAGCCTGGAGGTGGGACCCCGCCCCACACAGCAGCGAGGACTGGTCCTTGTTGTGCAGAGACAAGCCTGGGGGAAGCGACCTCCTGGAATATCGAGTGGTAGAAAGGCCACGTCCTTCCTCCACACCAGGTGCAAAGTCTGCATTAGCAGAGCTCAGGTGGGAGGATGGCGGAGATGGTGTCTCACAAAGTCAGCTCCCAAGCTTCCCGTTGGGACCGGTGAGTCATTGCTCCATCAGTGTGCCCGACACTGAAGATAATAGTGTCCCTGGAGGCAGGAGAGTTTTGCGCTCGGGAGGGTTATTGCAGGGCTTTGATGCTGCGGGGAGCACTGCTCCCCAGATCAGAGAGGAAGAAGAGGGCAGAGAGGAGTCATTTCTAGGCTTTCTTATTGGAGCAGTGAGGGGAGGAGATGAAGCTGAGTAAATCCCCCCCGCCCCCTGTCCGTCAAGCTCTGGAGATTTTCCCAACTAAAGCAGTGAACTGTGTTTTTTACCTGACCTTCCTTGTCACATTGAATGAGATGGATTTGATCCGTATAGTGAGACAGGTCAGTCAGTGAAGTCAGAGTATCAATCAGTCTGTCATCTGCCAGGAGGCCAGCATGGAAGGGAGGGCTGTGCCACTGCCCGAGACAGCTCTTCGCCTGAGCCAGTCGGGGTCCCCATGAGGAAAAGGAAGAATCGGGCCCAATGCAGGGCAAAGGAAAGTGGGGCAAATCGAAACAAGAAAACCATAATTCTGGCGAGTAAAAGGAGAAAGGAAGGGGGAAGACAAAAAGGTGTTGGCGTGGAGCATCCTTCACCTTGCCACGGCTGACAGGAGCCTCGGGCAGGGGGGTGCCTATAAAACTGCAGGGCACCCCTGGGGGCTGCTCCCTGGCTCTGATGGCTCCCAAACCTGAGGAGCAGCCACCCCAGGACTGCGAGTGGGCCGCCTGGTGTCAGCCTCTAGGATGTCTTCATTACCTAGCGTCCCAGACCCAGGAGCAAGGACACAGGAGACCCAACAGGCTTTAAAAACAAGAATCTGCTCTCTTTCTCCCTAGCAAAAGGCAAACAGGCCTAAAGAAAGGTGGTGGCATTTGGCGCTGGTGTGGGTCACGGGGGGCTCTTCACCCCTCATCTGTTATACCTGCCATCTGTTGATTGTCACATTTTAGAGCACCCCTAGAATTGGTATTATAAATGCCGAGATTGAAGTAACAAAGCTTGGATAGTTCTGAGAAAATGCCATCTTCCTTTTTCTCTCTCTCGGTCCTTCCACCTCTCCCTTTTCTGCCTCTGCCTTCCTGCTGTGCCCCATGCCAGCCACGCGCTTTATGGGATTTCTGGTGTCCTCTTAAACTCTCCACACTTCCATGACAACCTGGAACAGTCAGCGCTCTGTTGTGTCGCTAACCCATGTCCCTGTCCTGTGTGCTCCTGCCAGCCCCACCTGTACTGCATTTGTGTAATGTCTCCTGTGTGTCATGTGGTTGTCCCCTCAGTGTCTGAAGAGAGTCCCTCTGCCAGTGAGTCTGGAGTCCTCCTGTCCCAAGATCCTTCAGCCAAACCAGTCCTGCTACTGCCCCCCAAAAAACCTGCTGCTTTCTCTGGAGACCATGAGGAGACCCCAGTGAAGCAGCTGTCCCTTCTCAAGCAACCCCCTGCCCTGCCTCCCAAACCCACTGCCAGGATTGCCAACCACTTAACAGGTGAGTCAGCACATCTGCGGAGGCATGCAGCCCTCCCTTCCCTTCAAGGGATAATCTCTTCTCTTGTTCTTTTTATCTGAAGCAGCTCTTTGGTGAGGTTGCTCTATGGGACATGTGGTGTTTCCATGTGTGTCTTGGTACACGCATTCATGGCCTGGGTTTGTGTGTTTGTGTCAAGAAATATTCAGTATACACCTACCAGTCATGTGCCAAGAGCCTTCAGTCATGTGTATCTGTCAATATGTACATTGGCATTTATGTGACTAATTCTAGATTATTTGCCCATCTAGGTGAATTAGATTCAATGTCAAAATATTTGCAGAGATAAAGAGTGGTACCTTGTTGCCTTCATAATGAGTTTGTCAAAGTTCTAAATGTGTTGTCTTTAAATTATTGATCTGAAGCCCAACATGTTTCTTCTATCAAAATTTGTATCTGTGCTATTCTCTTTAAAACATGTTAAAAAGCAAAGACAATAAGCTGTAAAATATTGTGAAAAATGGTTTTAAAACAAGAGTAAGCTCAGGAATGTTGTCCTGAAATGATTCTTGTATTTTTGTTTTTCAAGTGTTATTCAACGAATGTACTATGTTTATTAAATTGGACATCTAGTAAATTGCATTTCCTTGCATATGACTACATGAATCGAATACCACTTGGATTTAAGGTTGTGGCATATCGGAGACTAAAGATTTCAGAGGGTTGTTTCCAGCCTTGATAGCAATCCCACCTGATACTGACTGACTGCCTTTTTACAACATCTTTGGTATTCATATAGTTTCTATTGATCTCTGTACATTTTTGTAAGCTAGAATGCAGATAGAGGTTGGGAAGAATATTCACTTATTTTATAATAGGACAAGTGAGGTTCAAGAAAAATAAGTGGCTTTTCCAGGGCTGGCAGGAATTCTGCGGTAGAGCCACAGTTAGACCCTGTGTTTCCCAACTCCAGGTCAGTGAACATTGTTCTAGAATAGTGGGATGTCTGACACATGGTATGAGTTCTGTTACAGTCCAGCTTAAACATGGAGTTGTGTCAAACTACTCCATCCTTGTATGCACCCATCCAAGTCAGATGCTTATGGTTTAAAAGAGCAAATTTCCACCTAAAGGAACCATTCAACAGATTAATGACACTTTAGTTCAGTGCCCCAAAATTTAAATGCATAGAAAACCACACAGGAGAAAATGCATTCATAAGCCTTCCTCTGACAGAACACCGCTGTCTGTCTGTCTGTCTATGTATCTAATAAAAATTAAGTACTGCTGTACATAGTCTTTTATCACCTGCTTTGTGCACACAGTGATATTTAATGGATACTGTGTGCCCACAATTTTGTCAGCTGCTTTGTATAGATCAGGATTTACTTGATTGACCTCTTTAGGGGCTTTCCATCTTCTCTTTTGTGAAAATACAACAGCAAACATCTTCAACAGCATGCATTTTTCTTTGAAAGTATCTTTGAGTCTTCCCTAATTTGTTTCTAGAATTAAAATTGCTTATTTATCTATACAGTGGACCCTTGAATAACACATGGGTGAGGGGTGCCAATTCCCCATGCAGTTGAAAATCCACATTTAACTGTTGACTCCCTAAAAACTTAAGTTGTCCCTCAGAATCTGCAGGGGATTGGTTCCAGGACCCGTGAGGATACCAAAATCCAAGGATGCTCAAGTCCCCTATATAAAATGACGTGGAACAATACAAACAGTGAGCCCTCCACATCCACGGATTCCCAGCCACAAATCAAACACAGTACAGTTATTTATTGAAAAGATCTGCATATAAGTGGACCCATGCAGTCAAACCTGTGTTGTTCAAGGGCCAGATACATAATACATAAAAAAATAGAGCGGCAATAGGACTACCGTCATGAGTGATGCTTGTAGTTCAGTGCTTGCCGTCTGATAAAAGGTTACGGGAGAAGGCTGACCTTGAGCTGACCCTTAAAGCATGAAGGACACCTACAGAGAGTGAGGAAAGACCATTCCAGGAAAGAAGACACTGGATAAAGACTCAGAGGTGGCAATGTTCAGGTCAGTGAAGAGGTGCTGAGCCAGGGGAGGCCTGTCTTGGAAGTCCTGAGAGAGGGTTCACTGGGTAAGGCATACGAGGATTTAGATTGTGTTCCTATAGCAGTGGAAGGCCAGAGGTTTTTGAGCACAGGAGTGACATGATGAAAACTAGCCTTTAAATTTTTTCCTGGGTTACTTATTGTGTAGACTGAATAGGAAGAACAGAAGGTTGAAGGCCTAACAAAGAAGCCGCTGAGGTCAGCCCTATGCCTCTTTCTCCCAAATCACTAGTTGAATGAAATTGAACCGTTTGAGCTGAGTTCCAGTTGTTGAAACATGAGCTAACAAGCATCGGGATGATGGCAGTAGGAAGAGGGAGAACAGAACATGAGATAAGACATTTTAAAAGAAGTATTGACAAAATTTCTTAGCCAAAAACAGCCTCTAATTTATTTAGTTTTCTAATTAATGAGGGCACACTCCATTTATTTGTAGCTTCAGCTCTGAGCCTTGAACTTGAGTAGGCTAGTAGCTTTAGCACTCTTGATATTTGAGGGACTGAAGATATGTAAATTAGCCCCATCTCTCTGGCGTCCCTCATCCTTTCCCAAGAAGAGTGGACTTTATCTATTATCTGTAAACCTCACCTTTATATCAAATGGATATAAATACATCAAAAAATGGATAAAAATACATCAAAGCCCGTCATCCTTACCATATTGTCCCCAGTAGCCTCGTAAATATGATGGAGACAAAACAGGTGCAGTAGCCTGTGAGCTATGATTCTGGTGCTATCCTTTTGGTTTAAACTCAGTTAGACTTGCTGAATTTTTGTGACTAATCAGTCATAATGAATCTGCATCACCGTGAGGCAGCTGTATTAACCCTGTTGTGTTACTAATTACTCTATAGAGACATCTGGGCCACGTCAGAGGGAATTAAGAAGCTAAGAATTCTAGAACTCTAGATTGAGATTTAGGAGTTTCAGCATGTCCTCATTGTCTGTTGTTCTGTGTACATTTTTGAAAAGAAACAGGACAATTTGAAAGACACCAAGCGTGACTCAGAGAGAGTGACGGTGGTTGATGGTCTGGTAGAGTGCTGCAGGAAGCGTGAGGCTGAACGGAGGCTACTTCCAGGTGCACAATCAGGGGGAAAGAGGCAGAAATATCTCTGCTTTGATATTTGCCTCCACTTTTGTCAGGAAAACCATAATTAATTTGGAGACTGTATTTCTTACAAATTTTCCCTGTCCTTGAGCCAGATAGAGAAAAGCCCTCCTTCTTTTTTCCAAACTACTTCTCCAAACTACTGTCCTCCAAACTACTTCTTTTTTCTCACATTCTCATCCTTCTCCATCTCATCTTGTCCAACACCAGTGTGCACAGTAACACATAATAAAGCCCAGGAGTTGCTGAGAACTAGATTCCCTTCCATTCTGGAGGTGCAGTGCCCAGCAGAGCTGGTTGCATAATGAACATGATCTGAGATGAATAATTCTCAAAATGCATGCTTCTTGGAATAACGGCTGACCCTAGAGGGAAAGGGTGATTGTGGCAAAAAGACAAAAAACCCACTGTCTTCTTTCTTTCTCAGTCTTCATCAATCACCTCTCCAGCCATCCTGCCTCCAGAAGTCAAATGTTAGACAGTGTGTGAGTAATCCCTGCCTCCTGCATAAGGTGTTGGGTTGGCCAAAAAGTCCCTTTAGTTCTTTCCATAAAATAAAAGATACCACTTTCTTTTTCACCAATAGCTTTCTTGATCTGGATATTTTGAGTATGTCAGCTGTCTCCTGTTATTGGCTTCTAGTGGGTAGAGGCCAGGGGTGCTGCCGAACATCTTTCCAATGCATAAGACAGCCCCACAGCAAAGAATTGTTTGGCCAAAATGTCAACAATACCAAGAAACTTTGCAAACCACTTTTGACATGTTTGATCAGTGACAGCACCTTGTGTATATACTGCACAAATTTTTTTTTCCAGCATTTTTACCTTTCTTGTAATAATAAAGCATAATATACCAAAAATGTTGCATATCTTCTTCCCTCTTCAATATTAAAATGGCTGCACAAAAGTTCACCAATTTTGATAATTTTTTTAAAATGCACAATACAAAGAAACAAAGTTATTTTGAATGAAGTTAAAGACAACTAAGCACTGCTAGAGGCATCTTACAGAAAAAACTAAATGAACTTTTTGGTCAACCCAATACCTGCGATTAGGTGCCCCACAAATGCCATTTGAATAAAGGATAATCAACCTATGCGATAGGTGGACTTCACAGTCTGACGTTCACACTTGGGTGGTAACAAATGGCAGCTGCCAGATTTTGAGAACTTTACAACATACCATTTAGTCCTGTGAGGCAGATACTGTCATCATTTTTCTGTTCTTTCCCAATGGAGAGAAATGAAATTTAGAGAAGTTAAATGACTTGATCATGGTTATATAGCTAGCAAGTGGCAGAGATGGACTAGGTCCATTTTGTTGAATTCCAGAGCCCTCACTTATAACCATTAGTTTATACCATGCCCCCCAAAATATCTATTCTTAAAATTCAAAAACAAAAATCATTAGCTTTCTTTGTTTGGTTTGTTTTTTCTTTTTTGCTTTGTGTATTTTAATCTGTTTAAGACAGAAAAAAATTATCCAGTCTTTCAAAAATAAAGATATGTTCTGAAGTCCTTTGATTATAAAGAGAAGGACCTGAGCACAGTTGGGTTGGGTTTCAAAGAGCATGCTAAAAGGAGACAGCCTATAAGGATCAAGAATTGGGGCAAATAGCCCTGGCCAGTCTGGCTCAGTTGGTTGGATCATCGTCCTGCAAACCAAAAGGTCACAGGTTTCATTTCTGGTCAGGGCATGTGCCTGTGTTGCCAGCTCAGTCCTCAGTCAAGGAGAATGCAGAAAGCAGCCAATCGTGTTTCTCTCCCTCTCCTTCCCCCTCCCTTCCCTTCTCTCAAATCATAAATGACAGAGAGAG